GAAATAAGAGCAAATGATGCTATTCTAGAGCTTGAGTATCGAAAATCTAACCCTTACAATGACTTGAAACCTTCTATTTATACTAATGGAGAGCATGGGCTGCCTCTTGCTGATTGGCCGTTGTTCCACCGACTTGGTCATCCATGCTTCCACTTGCTGATGTCATAGTCTGGCATTAACTGCACCTGGCCACTTGCTGGTTGGCCGTTGTTCGAACGGGATGTTGGTCCGTACTGAAGATGTTGTCAAATTGGCCTAAGTATGATATATAGCCCGAACCTCGTTCGGTATATTTTCTTATTGGGCCAACCTTTATTTGGGCCGAACCTCGTTCGGTATGTCTCCTTACTGAACCTTTTCATCATGGAGTGATGGGCCTGTTACTTGGGCCGGATGCCTTGGGCCTTCCCGATCTGGGTATTGGGCCTCTAGGTCAATACCTCAACAGATTAATAATGCCTAAATAAAAATACTATTGCACATGACTAAACGAAGCATGATATACAAACTTAGAGAAATTGGGTATGATTATGTGTTATGAATATGATGGCATGATAGTAGGAATTTACTATCAAAACTTTTGATAAAATATACTTTTACTTCATGTAAAGAATTCATGAATGGATAAAAGGGATATTTTTGATATTGAGAATAAATTATTTTTGGATTGGAAAGTCATTGGAAATGAATCATTGGACTATGAATTATGAACTTGGTTGTTCTAGGATTATCTGACTAGTATTGAAATATTAGTCGGGAGATTGATATGAATAATAATGGAATTAATCCTAAGGGATTAGAATATGAATAGTGATGCTTTAAGTGGTCTTAAGAGATACTTTAAGGATGAACTGCATGAGCTCTAAGATATGTTAGGGGTAAGCCTTAAAGGTTACTCTAAGTGAATGGATTCTAAGCATAGGATTTGTTTGAGAATCGGACTAAAATTATGAATTAGAGCCGGACTCTAGAATTACTTGGAAACATAGTTGGGCCGAGCCCTTGCTATGTAATTGTGAAGTACATGGAAATGCAGTTGTGTCGATTCCTTGCCATTCATTAGTCAATATCATGGAAACGTAGTTGGGCCGAGCCCTTGCCATGAAATTGTAAGATTGCATAGAAATGTAGTTGAGCCAAGCATTTGCCATGCAATAGTGATGTGTTGAACTTTGGCTAGCGGATATCATAGAAATGTAGTTGGGCCGAGCCCTTGCTATGAAATCGTGGCATGACTTGGGGTCACGGGGAATAGATATGGCGAATTCTAAATGAATATGGGCCTACAGGCCGAATACTTGACTTTATATAAAGTAAGTATATTTTTAAAATGGGGTAACCGAGGGTTATGACCTATAATATAATATCACCCTAGATTGAGGGTCTTAGAGATTGAAACATTGATTATATTCAGTGTAGTTGTCATTGTACTTTTCAAATGCTTCAAAGTACTGACCTCCCCTTCATGGGGGAGGCCACCTCACAGTTTCAGGTAGAACTTGAAGGTTGCTACCTATGCCCGTTGCTTCGGGAAGATCGAGGAGGGAAGACTTGGTTCGTGCTTCCTCCGTTTCTGTTTTAAAAACAATTAGATAAATGCTCATGGATATTATTTTTCTGAATAATTATTTGGGAGGCTTGTATGCCTAAGTTAGCCAAGTGTGGCTTGAACACTTGTAATATTGTTTCCGCTGCTTTAATGAATATTTTACATTATGTTTGTTTATGGATGTACTACGTGTGAATGATATTCCAGACACTTTGTATAATATGGATGTGTTGGATTGCGGTTGACTATTCGTACTGTACGGCGGGTTGTTGACGTGTTTCCGGGGCGTGACATATTTCCCCTATAAATAGACCTCCCTAGAGGGTAGTTATAGGGGTTGAGAAATATTAATTGGTCACTTTCTCTCTCTAGCTCTCACTTCTCTCTAAGATTAATATTCTATCAGTACTGCTTCAAAGTTTAGACTTGTGTAGTTGTTATGAAATATGTTTGGTTGAATGACTCAATGTTTGGTTTCCATTATTTACTCTTGCTTTCCGTGTTTGCTCAATGTAGTTTTCGGTTTATTTGTTTCATGTGGCCCTTTGATGGCCCCTTATTTATGACTTCTTCCTGTACTCCTTATAAGTAAAGTTCTATTCTCAAATGTTGGATTTGTGAAGCTGGGAACTCATTGATGGAATGATGCTGAGGGATGTGATAAACTCAGTTGGTTTCATCGGTATTACCATTCAGTTTGTTTGGTAACTCATATTCTATATACATTTGAATCCACATGTGCCAACAATCTGTCCCTGGAGTGATCGGTCAGAGCATTAAACTCAACCTGACCAATGTTATGTTTTGCTTTCAATGTTTGCTCATCTAGTTTTCGGTGTATTTGTTTCATATATTTTTATTGAATCTTAATTTTAGCATTTAATGTTGATGTCAATGTGTTGCTTCAAATTCAAGAATAGCCATTTCAAAACAAAAGTGTCATCCAAACATACTACAAAACATCAAGTGCCATTACATGTCGCAGTAAAACATCCAAGGGAAAACTGTCAAATAGGTCCTCGAACTTTCATAAAAAAGTCAATTAAGTCGAACTTCTATAGGAGATTCTGTCCGGTCGTCGCGATTTGGGGCGCCCCCTGGTGGAATTTTTGATGAATTTTTTTGAGCATCTTATTCATCAAGTCTAGTTTACTCATTCCAAATTTCAGCTAAAAATTCAATTGGAAACATATTCAAATTAATTCGAGAACGCAAAAATGCGCAGTTATCTTCACGAATTAATTTGAATGTGTTTCCAATTGAAGTTTTATCTGACATTTGGTATGAGTAAACTAGACCTGATGAATAAGATGCTCAAAAAAATTCATCAAAAAATTCCACCGAAAACCGCCCCAAATCGCGACGGCCGGACAGAACCTCCTATAGAAGGACTTAATTGACCTTTTTATGAAAGTTCGAGGACCTATTTGACAGTTTTCCCAACATCCAAACATACTACAAAACATCAAGTGGCAAGCAGTACCAAATACGCATATGAAACTCCAAACTACACACACCTAGTCATACACTACCACACTACAAACTACACACTCACATTTTCCTATTCTACCAAACTACTTCAAGTAGACCACACAACAAAACAACATCCATGAAAGCACAAGAGTAATGAAAGAAAATGTCTTTGTTTTTGCATTCTTCATAAGCAGTATATGCAGTTTCGTATTTCTTAATTCCACCATTTCTCTCTTAACTTTCGGCACCAATCTTCTCTTCTAATGCCAGTTGTCCTTCACTCCATTAGAAGTAAGACCAGTCCTCTTTTTGTAAGTCAGCACACAAAAAACTCAACAATAAATTGAACAATCAAAGAAGTGAAAAACTAACAATAAACTTAACAATTAGTTGTTTCAAAGTTAGTAATTACATACTGGCCGTAGTGCACACCCATAGAATTGTCTCCCTATTTTTGGTCCACTTTTGACCGATCTAGGTTTCGCATATATTGTGGTAGCACTGAACTGGAAATCCACTGGTTGAAGCCCTTCTCCCCCCAGATGATGATCCAGTCATCGAGCGCATTTCTCCTTCGCGTACTACACCGGAAGTGTTTACCGTATAGCAGTCGTGAGATGTGCCTCCGATTCTTGGGAAGGGTTGAGAACATGACGATAATGAACAAAGACGAAGGTGTTGTTATAATATATACTCTGTATTTATTAACACGCATGAGGTGCATGTCTATATTTTACCAGTTAAAAATTATTAGAACCGGTGAGGGTCTATTATTGGAAAAAAGTGGCGGAAGTTGGGACTATGGGGAAATAAACAACAGTAAGGATTATTAAAAGTTGACCGCGTATAGTTGGGATTAAAAATACATATTTTCCTTTAAAATATACCTAAAACAAATTTATTCAGAGTAAAACAACTTTTGTAATTCCGAAATTGAAGTATTATGTTTTTCTTCCCGCAATAGAAGTTATTATTGTCATGATTGAAAAATATTGTCATTAATTATAATAAATGTTGTCATATCGAATGCATAGTATTACAACTATTTGGCAATACTCCTATTTTGTGAAATTGCCCTCCGCTCATGTTAATCAAGATCACAATACTTAAAATGTAAAATAATATGAAAGTACAAATGAAATATTTATCTAAACAACAATAGTCAGAAGAAATGAGCTCTCACACCTCAAGAACACATTAAAGAAGAAAGATTAAATGCAAAAACTAGTAATAAACTAGTGGGTTGAATGATTCATTTGGCATGAATTAAGAGTTTAAATAAGCTAAGAAATGAATGATCTTTGATAGTGTGTTATTGATCATAAATCGGTTTTAGGGTGAAATTTATGAGCTTTGTCCTCAAAATCTTGGCTTCTCTTCAAGAATATTCTTGCACGTTGTGTTGTTTTTCTTTGTTATGAAGTAGCAGTCAGTCCATGCAATTTTGGACGGGATTTGCACTATGGGTCATTCGGAAACAGTCTCTCTGTGCTTTAGTACAGGGGTAAGACTGCGTACATCCGACCCCCCCCTTACTCCACCGTAGGTGGGAGCCTTTGCGGCACTGGGGTAAATGAAAATGATGAAATGATGATGTTGTGTTGTTTTTCTTTAGATTTCCAAATTTTGGCACCAATTGTGGGATAAGTCTAATGGTGGAGTTAATTGTTTTTTTGCAAAGTTTCCTAAATATATTATTACTATAGTATATGTTCTATGTTAAGGCCAAAATCTTTGAACTGAGATGAAATTCGAACATGTGACTTGCTCCTTGAGAGTGTCACGGTGGTGGAGTTAACTTTTGATGTTGGAATTATGAAACTTTTGCATCTCCGCCTCTCCGGCTCGGCGTCTGTTCTTTCTAGGGATTTTGGAAACTTTTTTCTCTTCGAATGATCAAAGCCGAGATTGGGAATACCACCGTCCTCCAAATGTGTCCGCACAATATTGCGGTTTGTTCATGTTTCCTTAATTTTGAATTAACTAGGCAGATGATTTTGATAGAAAAATAAAGAGAAAACTGTCAAATAGACCCTTGTACTATGCTGAAAAAGTCAATTAAATCCTCATACTAAAACACACTCAATCAAGCACTCCAACTTAAAAAAAAATCAAATAAACTTTTTAATAGGTTTGCAACCGATCAACCGGTAATTTTATACAATGGTGCTGACCTGGATTTTTCATTTTCTTTTCCTTCTTTCTCTCTATCTTTCTCTTTCCCTTTCTTTCTTCCGGTTCCCCCTTTCTTCTTCTTCCCGGCCGGGTCTATGTATGCGTGCAAGCAGATCTGCAACTTCTTTATTTCTTTCTCTTTCTTCCATTCCCACGTTCCTTTCTTCTTTACCCCGATTCTCAGTGCGCCGAATCCTTCTTCTTCGGCGGGTTTGTACGCCGTCTTCACCCACTGCCGCCGCATCCTAACTTCACCAAATGCAGCCCGTCGCCCCAACTTCATAACAATGCCGCCTGTGATTTATGACGAATGGTGCAGCAGTCGCCTCACCGAATCCATGAATATGGTTTTTACCCCCTGCTGCCCAGATGGGTTTAACGAAGGAGACGCCGGAAGTTTTGGAGCGAACATGGATGGATGTTATTTTTCTGAGTTGTTGCCGCTGGTACTATGGTAGCCCCATGGACTGTCCATCTATCTTTTATTGCTCATACGGCCTTGATTAATTAGGTGGGTGTGCAAGAGGAGGTTTATAGTCACCGTTGCTCCTCCTTGGTTGCGGACTGGCGGCGGATTCAATTGGAGGAAATACTGTGTGGATTGATGGCGGGGAAGGCATACAATGATTCAGTGGCATGTTATGTGTATCTGTAGCTAGAATCCGGCAAGAAGATAGGAGGAAACAAGAAGCAAACAAAGCAAAAAAAATACTCCGTAAGAAACAAGAAAAGGAAAAAAAAAATCCACAGTGCCACATGTCAATATGTCCTAGCGACAATCACATTGATGATTAAGTATATATTTGATATGTACTTGATCACATTCAGTTTTATATATTTGATATATACGGTACTACACATTGATGATTAAGTATTTCGATTGTCAATATCTTATTCATAATTGTGTTCCCTTGGACTTATGTTGTCAATAAGTTAGTGAGAGCTTATATGATATAACATAAGGTCCTAAAATAGCCTCAATCAATGATCATCAAGAATGGGATATTGATGATATGCGATAAGATTGATATGTGGACTACATCATACTTTTAGAAAGTATAGTTGATCTCACGACTATGAGTTCCTCTAATTCATGATGGTCACATAGATATTTTAGAGAATATTGGCATACCCACCGAGAAACCATTTGATAAGTTCTATTCATGTGTCTATGGGATTATCGGCGTATAAAGTAGTGTAATAGTCATCCGACTTGAGGTCAATGCGTACTACATGTGCGGAGTGATGTACTTTGACCATGACCAACGCTTGCACTCCAATCGGGGTAGATACGACATGTGTTGGGTGCATCACGAAGCATATGGAGTAGTAGTTGAGCCAAGAAAGGATTCATTCCTCATAATAGATTAAGAGAGAACATTCTACTTCTCATATCTAGATGGATCATAAAGTCATTGGCCAATGCAAAGATATATTCGTTTTGGATATCGAATATGATCGTTATGGATCAACTAGAAAGATTGAGAGACAGAGACTGAGTTATTGGGATAGACACTATATCATGTTCTAGACTTAGTTGAATGTTCGTTGAATGAAAGGACCGTATCACTATGAGCTCTATATTACAGGGAGTTTGAATAGTCCTCGCAAACGTCCTTATATATTAAGTTTGTCTGGTAAATAGTCTAGGGATTCTACTAAGACCTTAATTTGATTAGTGCTTAATATATAAGGCCCTATGGGTCACACAACAAGTGATTATACCTTCCGATTGATTTGTTATAAGGAATTAAATATTATTAATTGGATCAAATATTATTTAATTAGTAATACTGAAAATGGATTAAATATTAATTAGATTAAACATATTTAATTCATGAAGCTGAAGGAGAGTTCTATTTGATAGAATTAATTAAGTAAAATAAATTAGATTTATTATACTTAATTAAGATGTATATATAATTAAATAAAGTTGGTATTTTCTTTTAATACAATTGGAATTAGATTAAAAGAAAATTCAAAATAATAATAAATAACATAATAATAATAATATATATGGAGTAAAGGTAGGGTAGCGGCTAAAGCCACTCCCTAGCCTTTCTCTTATTGTTATTTTATTATTATTATTATTTATTATTTATATTATTTAATTAATATTTAATTAATAAATGAAATAAAATAAATAAAATAATGAGGGTGGAAAGTGGCGTGCAGCCCACTCTCCCCTTATTATTAATTAGTTTGTTTTATTTGTTTATTTAATTAAATAAATCAAATTTGGTCCTAATTGGATTAGAACTCATTAATGAGAAAGACTTTCATTGTGATTGGGAAATTAGTTTAGAACTAGTATAAATACATTCTCCCCCTTCATAATTCATAGACCAGTTTTTCCAGATTCAGTATTACCAGTTTATTTCCCTTCGAAGAGATTTCCTAGCCTTTCTCTATGGGAGATCTAACCGTTCTTTCGGAAAGGAGAAATCACGTGGATACCTAAGGTCAAGGATTATTACCGCTAGGCTGGAAGATCTGTAAGTTCTAACTCAGATCTGTTATTATTATCATATTCGTTGTTTTGTCATAATCAGGGAAGATCTGTTTGGGAAAATTTTAAACTTCCGCTGCTGTACTTTCGAGGTACGTTATATCAATTTCCTAACACCACATGTACTCAGTTACCGGCTGACCTCTTGTTAACCTGCTAAAAGACATATCTGAACGTTTTTTGAAAGTTGGGGTGAAGTGTTTTTTAGTACCAGGACTTAATTGACTATTTCAGTATTGTAGGAGGGCCTATTTGGCAGTTTTCCCAAAAGTAAAATATATAGATTTAACTGAAAAACAAATATCTGAATCTTGAATTAGTTTATGCAGGTTTCATGCTAAATAGCTCTTTTGGAGCTTGGGAAGACTATTTGATTTGTTAGTTCATTAAATTACTGAAAGTTTATGCAGATCATTTAGTTTTGGAAGTTGGATATGGTCTTACCATTTAGGTGCCCCGACCTTACTAAAAGAGGTCATGCACCATATCCTTTGAACGAGAAAATATTTTAAGCGGGGCACAATCCCATAACTTAAACAATCACATTAATTATAAATTGTCTTAACAAACCGCACCAATAAAACAAAATAAATTTAATTAAAAACGTTCACGTAATGATGCTAAATCCAATCTATGCGACCTCATGTTTTGAAAATGTTGGATAATAACCATTAACGTAATTGTGCTAAATCCAACCTCATTATAGGTGTAGCTCGAACAAAAACATATGAAAAAGTAGCACCGGAATATATCGGTGCTTTAGTCCAGGGAAAATATTTCTCAATTGACATTCCCTAATAATATTTACCAAAAAAATAATTATTAATTCAAACTATTATAAATTCATAATTTCATACCAATAATGCTTTAATACATAATCTTTAGATTATTAATTCAAACTATTTTACACTACATATATTTCAAATCATATTTATGAATTGTAAAAATTCAATAATGAAATATCAAATATTTTATTGAATTAAAAAAAGCCAAAATGGGAAAACAAAAACAGAAAACCTACCGGACAGGTCTACGGACGACGGGGGGGGGGGGGGGGGGGGGGGGGGGGGGGACGGAACCGAGCGGCGGACGGCAGAGGGCCACTGGCGGTCCGGTGTCACGGCGTGGCCGGTGGCTATGCTGCTTGCCTTCTCGCCTGCTTGCGCGCATATTCTTTCTACGTAAGTGTGGAACTGCATTTGGGCTATTAAGTGTTGGGCTTGTCTTGGCCCGATCGGCCCTTTACTTTATTTTTTTCCTGGACTCCAAACGATGTCGTTTCATCCTCCAACTTAAAAAACGCAGAGGACATGTTTACTTCACGGGTTAGTAAACGGTGCTTATTAAAACTCACGTTAATAAGCGGCGCATAAAATAAGCGATGTTGTAAGCTCATGTTTACTTCAAAGGATTTAAAACACTAGTTCACATTAAAATGTCGAAAATAACCTTATAGATATATATACACACACAAACATTCGTGAACACAAGTATATAATATAATATGTGGGGTCACCTCGTATGCTTAGTTGCTTACCCACACCCCTAACCCCTACCCCGCCCTGTACCCCCACCCCTCACCCTACCCCAAATTCCACACCCTTGACCCCATCCCTACCCCCTACCCTTACCACGACCTTACCCTCCACCCCTACTCCCACCCATACCAACCCCCCAACTCGTAGGGGTAGGGGTAAGGTGGGGGTGGGGTATGGTCGGGTTAAGGGTGGGGTGGGGGTAGAGGTGGGTTGTGGTAGGAGCATGGGGTAGGGGTAAAGGGGTAGGGGGTGGGGTCAGGGTCGGGTCAAGGTAGGGGAAGGTGGTAGGGGTAAAGGGGTAGGGTAAGGGGTGAGGGTGCGGTGGGGTAGGGCAGGTGGTGGAGGGTAAGGGTAGGTGGGGTGGGGTTTGGTCGGATCAAGGGTGGGGGTTGGGATAGGGGTGGGTCGAGGTAGAGGTAGGGTCGGGGTTAGAGAAAGGGGGGTGGCGGTAGGGGTGGGGTCGTGGTTGGGTCAAGGTAGGGGAAGGGGTTAGGGTGGGGTGGGGTAGGTCAGGTGGTGGAGGGTAGGGGATAGGGGTAAGGTGGGTGGGGTATGGTCGGGTCAAGGGTGGGGGTGGGGGTAGGGGGTAAAGGGGTAGGGGTGAGTCGAGGTAGGGGTAGGGTCGGGGTTAGAGAAAGGGGGCGGCGGTAGGGGTGGGGTCGTGGTTGGGTCAAGGTAGGGGAAGGGGTAGGGTGGGGGTGGGGTAGGTCAGGTGGTGGAGGGTGGGGGTGGGGTATGGTTGGGTCAAGGATGGGGTGGGGGTAAGGGGTAAAGGGGTAGGGGTGGGATCGGGTAAAGGTAGGGGAAGGTGGTAAGGGGTACAGGGGTGGGGGTGGGGTCGGGGTAAGGTAGGGTAGGACGGGGTAGTGGTTGGGTCAATGGTGGGGGTGGGGGTAGGGGGTAAAGGGGTAGGGGCGGGGTAGGGTGGGGTCGGGGTCGGGTCAAGGTAGGGGAAGTTGGTAGGGGGTACAAGGGGTAGGGTAAGGGGTGAGGGGGTGGGGTAGCGCAGGTGGTGTGCTTAATTAATACATGAGAGATGGTATGCTTAGTAAGCGGCACTTTAAGTATCTCTTTCGGTTAGTAAGCAGCGTTTTAAGCAACTTGTGTGTTTACTAACCTAACTGTGACTTTAGCTGCGAAATAAACAATGAGCCATTTTCGCATTATTGGTGTTGTTTGACTGAATATTTCTATAAGCACATTGTTTTTGTATGATTTGGAATGGGCTTTGCCAAACACATTCTAATTTTTTTGAACAAATCTTGCAATTAGTAGATATCATCACACCAACTAACTGAAATGTTGAAATAAATACAAGAAATTGCATATCTAGTAATACACAAATAATGCAACACAACTAAGAAAAAGTATAGCAAAACGATGCCGCACGAGATAATTATCATTTTTAATTTACAAAGTTCATGTGAAAATATAAAAACGAATATCATCAAATTGTTGAATATAATAGAAATCTTCAACGTTCTTCTTCGTTCTAGGTTAAATATTACTCCGTAATTCTAATTTAATTTATAGTTGAATCTTGAGAGCTAAGATTTAAACCATATTAATTAAGTTGAACAAACATGATACAA